TACAGTCTGACCTTTTGGTACAACAATTCTTGCCACAACACCTTCTATTGAGAAAAAAACACAAAACATCCTTTTTTTAGCATTTTGTGCAGTTCTGGCAATTTGCAGTTGATTTTCCCCACTTTTAACCCATGTTTTATTTGATTCTTTACTTGGTACAGTATAAAAATGAAACCAAGTTTCATCACCTGTGATAATATTATTAAGTCCATTATCAAGGTTTTCTAACAATTGCTTAGAAATTTCAACCCAATTTTTTTTATTTTCAACAGTTAAAACATGCGGGACCTATTTTTTACAAATTTTATGAACTTTTAATTCATTATGTAAAATACTTTGAATACTTCCTCTAGAAATTCTATTCAATAGCTGTAATTGTCATATGAGGATCATCACTAATTAAATCATCAACTTTTGCAATGTTTTCAAGGGTGGAAGTTTCTTGAGGATGTCCAGAACATGAATCATCTTCAACATTGTTTTTTCCACTTTCAAATGCTTCAATCCAATGATAAATAGATGCTAAAGATACTGCATTAGACCTCTCAGCAACCTGTAATTCCTGTTGAATTTGTTTAGCTGGTTTGCTATTTTTCCAGCTAACAAAAATGTAGTATCTTTGGTATTCATATTTTGAATTTTCCATTTGTTTCTACTGGCAAACTTTAAAAATTTATAACTTAACAACAAATGACTCAATTTGAATGATTTTTTTTTTATTTAAAAGATTGTGGCTTAAGGGTTTTTTATTCCCATTTTTACTTTTATTAAAGAAAAGATCATCAAGTTACATGTATTTTCTCAAAACTTTTTGTACAACCACGTAATTCTATTTAATAAAGAGTGGAATTGAGCTATGGTGGTGCCATGGATCATTAGGTCTGGACCGCCATATCAATTCAAGGTGGAAGGTCACAGTTTTGGGTAGTGGGTCATCACTGAATCAATCATTGTACGATCAAGAATGGCATGATCATCATAAAATGTTTGGTCAGACCCAGGAAAAAAAAGAACCTACAAGTTATATCATTTGTTACATACAACTTATTAATGATATTTGAGAACGGATATATTTATTGGGTAAATGTATACCTTTGCTAATAATGTAATTGCAAAAAAGCCGGTAAGATTCAACCATAGTGCGAATTTTAAAAGCAAATTACTCGACAACTAATCAGTTAAAAAAGCAGAACTTTGAAATTTTATTTGGCGAATTTTTTCTGACAATAATTAATTTTCTGGTTTTTTACAACACACTATATATTTTATTTATTTATATTTATTTATAACTTTAATTTATTTATAACTTTAATGTTTGAATGTAAATTCGTCAAATCTTAAATTATATAAAAAAAAAAATAATAATAATAATTTAAACATAAAATAATCTTAAATAATTGAAAAAACCAATAATATAATATAAATTTCTTTAGATGATTTATAAAGGTGAGAGAAAACTTCAATCAATATACATATATATTGAATGGCTCTCAACCCTACCAAAATTTTATTCGCTTTTGTGATTTTTTTTTTCTTT